TATGCTTTTTGATGGAACTTATTGAATCTCCGCAAAATCTGGAACCTCCTAGAATCACATTGATCTTACCCTTCGATCTTCTTGGTTCTTCCTCGTTGGATAACCTTGGTCTTTTGGAATCTTGATCTTTGGAGTTTTCCTTTGCTTCGTGGTATTCCTTCACAAAATCTTTTATATCGAATTTAGAAAGATCGCCACTAGCCCAAAGCTTTGCGAGGTGCTTTTTAAGAACGCTGCAATCCTTGGTTAAATGTCCGGTTACTTTATGAATGTCGCAATATAGACTTTCATCACGGACCCAAGTGTTTGATCTTCCTTTCCCTTGGAATTGCTTCCCGACGGTATTGTTGAAGGGTTGCGACCCAAATTTCTTTGGTCCCTTGCTCTCCCTAGGCTCAAACTTCCTGGTAGGGACGGTGATCGCCGACTTTTCTTGTTTATTCCTTTTGGCAAAACTTTCTTTTTCGTCCTCTACCTCCATCCAGTTGTTCGCGCGGAAGAGTGCATCCTGAATTGTGTCTGGTTTATGAAGTATTAAGTCTTCTTTAAACCTTGAATCATGTCGCAATCCTTTTCGTAAGGCAGATAAAGCTGATTGCTGTGAGATTCTTGGGAGTTTTGACAGCACTCCTTTGAATTTGGTGATGAAAACTCGAAGTGACTCATTAGATCCTTGCGTTAAGTTCCAAAGATCGGCATCCGAAACGCTTTTATCCATAAGGATGGAGTATTGCTTTAAGAATACGGCCGATAGTTCGTCGAAATTGCTGATCGAACCCGGCTCTAATTGGGTGAACCACATTAGAGCTTGGCCACATAGATTCTCCGAAAACAGCTTGCAATAGCCTGCGTCCTCATCAGCTTCATCCAATTCGACTCTTCCTGCAGCGATCAGAAAAGTTGCGAGATAGCTTTTTGGATCCTCCAATCCGCTGTAAGGGTCCAATTTGAGTTTCCGGGAATCTTTGATCCTCAAACTCGCAATTCGCGAGATGAAAGGTGTTCGCCTAGCTTCTTCAATGACTCGATTGATGTCTGGCTCTGAACTTGTAGCTTGATGAAATTTTGATTTCATTTCTTTTAATTCCTGGCTAACCTTCCTCATGGTCTCGAACTGGTCGAGGTTCTCCTGCTCATACTGAGCTGCAAGTTGTTCTTCATCCCCGAGCTGCGTCTCTTCCTCCAACGTCTGAGCTACATTATTAGTAGCACCGGGGGTTGTTTGTCCGCTGGTTTCATTTCGTGCAGCGGAACTTGGCGAGTTGAATATCCCTCTTCGGATTCCCACCGGGTTTCCTGCACTTAGAGAGCGAACACGAGTTTGTATAGTATTGACGTTTTGACTAAGAGATACCTGGGATGTTTGCAACGTATCGACGGCCTTTTCCACATCCGAGAACTTTTTTGATATGTCCGACATGGTTTGCTGCATAGCTTTGAGGGTTTCGGCCAATGATGTCTCAGCGGCGTCTCCTCCGGACATTGTTGCTTATCTCGGAAGTGTGATAAAGAAAAAATCTGACCACTCAAGAACCTAATATCCCCACAGACGGCGCCAAAATGTGGATGTCGGATTCACACACTCAAGTATTCTATTAGGTGGGAAAGATTATTCTTGAGGGACAAAAATGAATGTATAAAAACTTGTGAATTGTTACGAAAATTGATATATTCTTTTTCTCTCCAGAGGAAGGGTCCCTTTTACATAGCCATTGACCTCTATATTTATACATAGGGAAACGACATTAAAATGAGTAATTAAGTACAATTATTCCTTCTTAAATGTGTCCGTTTTGATTCTTCGACTTCAATGCTCAACGTTTGAATTTGAGTTGACTCTGATCTTCACGGGCCTCGCCTTTTTGGCCCAAGTGTCCTTGAACCGACTTACCCGTGTCTTCTACTTCGAACTTGTGTCATAGTGCATTCACTTCGGATTCTCGAAGTGGTGACGACCACTTCAACCTTTCCTTCGACTCATGGGTCCATTGGGCTTCGTCCTTTATGGGCCATTATTTTGACTACGTGGCAATCTTTGGTTGGTCGCGGACTTCTGGTGCGGGATCCGACACCAACAGCCATGTCGAGGTAACCATCACTCATTTCCTTGCTTGAAGATGTTTTGTTTATTCGGTTTAAACTAAGTAGAAAGCTACTTACAGTTGGTGAAGAGATTGATCTTGGCTGGAGCCATCTAAGTCTTTTGAATCTTTATTCCCACTCTATTAGAGGAACTAAGCTGAACTATTAGAAGCTTGAAAATTGTAGGTGTGAGCGGACTCCAATGGATGAAGCTATTGGTGCGGAGAAGATGGAGATTATAGATGCTATTAACACAACTGTTGCACAAATGGAACTTGAAAATACCAGAGTGACACGACTTTTCCAAACATCTCCCTCTCGGCATCGTAAATGTGGTGAGCTTTTGTATTGTGAGATTGTTATATAGAAAATGTGTGTTTGCTGGTTTTTTCAGATTCTTGCTTTTGTGTGTTTGATGATGTTTTGAGACGTCAAACTTTATAGTATTTATAGGCTCATAAATTAGGTCACAAATCTCTTGAACGCCAAGCATAATATATTTGATACCGTAACTAATATGGAATCAAATCTATGAAATCATTTTGTGTTTAAGAATATGCTACCGTTTTGATTTTGAAGAGTCATAAATTAGTTTCTAAATAATCGTTTGTTTGCAGATTTGGAGAGAATAAGTCTCGGAAAAGGTATGTGGAAGTAATTAGTTGGGATCACAGCCTAAAGAAGAGATTTTAGAAATAAAGGATCGACATTATTGAGATAGATTTTTGGAACGCAATATCTTTTATTTAATTTTCGATTTTCATAATCCAATTGCGGAAGAAGTTAAGGAAACAGAAAATATTTGGTAATTTAAGAATAAATGTCGTTTTTTTTCTCCTTATTAAAGTTATCTAGATATGGTATCTAGGAGTAATTAGTTAAGATGTTGTAAAGATTCGAAATCATAATTGTAGTCATTAATATGGGCGATTTCTTTTATTACAACATTCCTAAAATTTCTTATCCAAGATCCGGATAGAGTTAAACCCGGGTAAAACCCGGATCCAAATGAATTAATGCAAAAAAACCCTGTAAATATGTATATGTAGATTTTTAGTATATATCCTAATTCTCATAAGAATATGAAAATGAATAATACAAAAAGGAAACTAAAGAGCCATGAATTAGAAAAAACAATAAGAAACTTCCACATCATCACTTTAAAGAACAACTACATAAAGAAGAGAGAGATATATACATAACAAGAACAAGAACAGAGATTATGAGCTAAAACCAAATCGAGAGAAGATCAAAAACCTTCTTCATATTCTTTTTCTTTTGGTCGAATCTTCATATCCATAAAAACAAGAAACATGGGACGATCGATCGTGAAGCCGATGTTTGGAGCAAACCTAACAACGATTGGATCAAACATGGCTGGTTTGTTCTTCGTTTGGTCAACTCTCAAGAGATACTTCCCTCGACAGATTCAGCAACTTCTCTTCAATGCAATCCAACGAATACCCATTTTCAAGAAACTTTCAGACAAGATCCTCGACTTGTTCTCACCTTACGCTCACATCAGATTCAGTGAAATCGAAGGGTTTAGATTCAACTACGCTTATGCAGCTGTTAAGACCTACCTTGGTGCAAAAGTTAACTCTGAAGTGAAGAATCTTAAAGGGAATCAGGTTAAAGAGAACACGTCTTTGGATTTGAAACGAGACGATGTTAAAATCGAAGAAGAGTATGAAGGTGTGAAGATGTGGTGGGATATCTTTAGATGTGTTAAAGGGAAGAAAATCTGTAGGCTTACTTTTCATAGAAGTAATTGGGATGTTGTGACTGGTTCTTACTTAAGCTACGTTGTGGAAGAAGGGAAATCGATTAAGGCCAGGAAGAAGAAGTTATCGGTGTTTATGAATAATCCGAGTTTGCGTTGGAAAACTAATATGAAAGGTCTTTGGACTTGCATTGATTTCGAGCATCCCGCAACGTTTGATACTTTGGCTATGGATATTGACAAGAAAGATGAGATTTTGAGTGATCTTGTGGCGTTTAGAGATGGCAAAGAGTATTATGATAGGATTGGGAAAGCTTGGAAGAGGGGTTACTTGTTGTATGGACCTCCAGGGACTGGTAAGTCTACGATGATCGCCGCTATGGCGAATCTTATGAAGTATAATATCTATGATCTTGAGTTAACTTCGATTGGGAGTAACTGGGAGTTGAAGAAGCTGTTGATAGGGACGACTAGTAAGTCCATCATTGTGATTGAGGATATAGATTGTTCCTTGGACCTCACGGGAGAGAGGAATGTTAAAGACGTGAAAGGTGATGAAGGGAAGAAGAGTAATGCAGTTACACTCTCAGGGTTATTGAACTTTATAGATGGGATTTGGTCAGCTTGTGGGCAAGAGAGGATTCTTGTGTTTACAACGAATCACTTGGGGAAACTTGACCAAGCTTTGATCAGGAGAGGTCGTATGGATATGCATATTGAGCTATCTTATTGTACGTTTGGTGCATTCAAGATTCTTGCCAAGAACTATCTGAATCTCGATTCGCATCACTTGTTTGGAAAGATTGAGTCTTTGCTTAAAGAAACGAAGATAACACCAGCTGATGTTGCGGAGAATTTGATGGTGAAAGATCGGACAGAAGTTGATGGTTCACTCAAGGGTTTGATCCGAGCTTTGGAGAAGATCAAGTGGAGCCAAAAGGTTAAAGCCGAAGAACAACACAACAAGGAGATTAGCCAAATTTAGATATTTCACCAGTGAGATTCTAGTCTTTATATAGGTTAAGATTCTGCTTTGAATTTAATATCTTAGACTTCTAGTCACCAATTCTAGCTTCTGAGATCAAATGTGTTGAATTTAATAGGTACCTTAATATTGATGTCAAAAAAAAAATTCAACAAAACTACAAACACTAATGTATCTACTACTTGAGCCTCTTGTAGATCTTAACAGTGCTTAGATTGTTTTACTTTGGTGAGCCTCAATCACTTGCTTAAGCTTCTCGTAAGTTTTGCTCCCATATTCCATGAACACTTCCTACAATATTAAGATCAAACCAGACCAAATTAGCATATGTTAGTTGTGTATTAGCCCATATAAATGAGGTTTCACTAGTTTCAAACTTCAAGATCAAGCTCTTTGAAGAGATCCTTCACTATAGCAGCGTTTGATTGGTCGGATTTACCATAGTTCTCCTAGGATATCAGAACAAAACCTGTATCAGATTCTACAGAGGATATAAACCTTTTAAAAATATCTTTGTTTGTTCTTCGCTACATGGTTCCAATGCCTTAACTATCAACTAGGAGCATTTGAAATCTTCTATATCTATTCCTATCTGCATTATGAAACACCAATCAAGTGAACTCAGAGTTGCATTCAGATCAGCTTGAAAAACAAAGTGTTTGCCAAGCGCCTCGAGATATCATCCTACACAAAAGAAAGGATATCTATCAACTTCCTCATATTAACCTATCATATACCTCTCGTAAATACTTAACAGCAAACTAGTACCTGCACTTGGAAGTAGATTCCTATGTCAACAAGAACATTCTTCACATCAACATGATTCTTCAAATTTTCGCCCGCTATAATCAACGCACAAGCAACCTGAGTAGAGAAACAAACAGCTCGGGAAAAGGGGATTTTCATACCCGTACAATAATACATTACTCACAGGGAGATAAAATGAGTAATAAGCAGTTTTGTACTAGATAATACTCCGGTGGCTGAATGTTGAAAAACCATTTCATAAGATCAAAACACTTCATCAACCATTAGAACAAACCATTTATGATATTATATGATAATGCCAACACTTGACTCACATTAACAATGAGTACTTAGACAAATCCTTTTCACCTTCCCAAGTTGGTTATTATCAAATCTATCATCTGGCCACAAAGATGTTTGATACTCAACCTAAACAGAGGACAAAATTTCGAATGCTTCAAAACTTAGACAGAGGAAAACTTCTTGCTCGTTGAAGTCATTGCCTTGCTTCAAAAGTTTGAACCTTTCATCAACGGAGAGACCCCAGGAGGGAGATGAGATCGGAGAAGGGTACTTACCAGTTCAAGCCAGAGACGAAATTCATCGGTGAATTCAAAGGAAGGGTCATGAAAGATATCCGACTTGAGAACGGAATAAGCGTGAGAAAGGTTGACTTGAGATCCGCCATTGAAGAAGAGAAAGAAAGCTCGTCACTTTGTATAGAGAAGACGGCGAAGAGATCACTTGAAACTGCAAAGATTCCGACGAGATGGCTTCAGGTCCGTTTTGGTTTGTCGCCGCCGGGGAAAAAGCTTTCGACTAAGTGAGATGGGCTTGGGCCTGGTCCTGGGCCTGGTCTTGGTCTTGGGCCTGGTCTTGGTTTTTGCTTCACTTTTGCGTCTAATTAACGAGTAATAGTTTCCGTAAGTCTAAAACAAAATTGCAAGGTGTATGGTTATTTCTACTTATGATTACATTTTTACATCTAAATAGGATGTTACTTAGCCTAGCTAGCTTTTCTTTGCACATACTTAGGTTAAGTGATCTTTTGGTTATGATTTGTAACATCGTTTGTAGTACTTAGTTTAGTAGGTTAAGTTTAAGTGAACTTTAGGTTATGAATTGTAACATTGTTTGCACTACTTTGTGAATGAAATTGTGTTATATGCATCTAATATCATCAACACCAAAGAAGATCCCACAATGATATTGTCAGATATTCAGAATATTAATGTTCCCACAGATTGTCCACCAGATTGTATGTATTTCATAATCATCAACACTCTTAATAAGACTCATTATGGTGAACCAACAATGATCAGAGCATTAGCAAGGCTCACTAACAAGGTTCCTCTCTAAATGCCGCCTGAGTTTAATATTAAGGAAATCATCTATTTCCATAATATCATTATGGTAAAGAAGATAACCGGTTTGTGAGAAACGAATATCAACGACCATCTTGAAACATTACATGTTGTTGATTGGTGGTGATAATATCTATAGAGAGTAATATAAAAGCTCTCCAAAAAGAAAAGAGCATAAAACGAGTATTGTTTTTTCTACTAAGAATTTTGACTTTTCTTCTTAGATCTTATTATATGAGTTTTTGTTAATCATATAAATACTTTGATATTTAATTCAAGTGGATCTACATATTACAAAATTAATTTTGGTTGTTTTGATTGTAATTTGATTGATTTTGATGGTAAAAAATTAAGCATGAACATGTAAATCTAACTAAACTATCCAAACTAAAGTGGAGTTTTAGGATTATAAACTGTTCAAAAAAAGTACAAGATAGCATCAAAGTATTATTAGTCTTTGACAGCAATATTTTTTTTTTAAAAAAAACTGTATATATTCATTGATGCTACTTTATTAGTTGCTTTGAATTTTTCTCTATTTTTATAAAAATCAAAATTTAGACTTTTAGTCTCAAATTCTAACCAATGTCAGTCCTAAAAATTCTGTACTTTCATTTGGTTCCACTTTGTCTCTACAGAGAAGTGTTTCTCTTGGTATAGTGAGTTGTGTCGACGGCAAACTTGGGACAGAGAATGACCGCCAATGTTTCCAGATTGATTGTGTAAAATCTTGGAGACTCTAGTGGTCTATTGGTTAACATTGATGGTAGATTCATCGGGTTAAACTTCTAAGTCTCAGTCAAATCTACGACGAGATTTGTGGAATAGGGTTTTGGGTTCACAATCAAAATAAATGATGTTCTTCATTTCATCGAGATATACTATGCAAAGAAATGTGAGGACATTGTTGAGTGGGAGTCAAGATGTCAATGTTCCAGAGTTTGCTGAACAAGACATAGAAGTGATCACAACCGATCTTTTGAAAACATTTCCTTAGTCTTATGAATGTTGCTTTTTTGAAAACTATAATGCAATGCTCCCGACATAGTTATGATCTTATGATTCTTTACTTTTTAAGAAGAAAGTAAGAATCTTCAAACATTAACAAGATTATACAAATAGTGGTACAAATTTTTTGACTCTGATTTAAAAAAAAAAAACAAAAAGGTCCAATCAAATACGTTCTCTTTCTCGGTTCAGTGGACCTAAACCAATTCCTCAAATGTCTCAATCCGTGACTGTATTAGTTGGACTTGAGCTTATAATAGTATTAGTAATACTAATAGTCGTCCTACATTAAAAAGACAGACGTCTTCCTGGAAACTGATACACACTATGACACAAACCACGAGAACTCAGCAAAATTGTTTTATTAGATAACATTTCGCTATCATTATAATGGACCAAGATTCTTAAGTTTTCTAATGGATAAATATATATTTTCATGCACGAAAGTGCAGCCCCGGCTCAATATATTTGAGAGCCTTAGGGCAAAAATTTTTTTTTTTGCCTATTATTATATACAAAGAGAAAATTTACTTAATTTTTTTAAATTTTGCGGAGTTTTTATAGTAAAAATTGTTATTTTAAAAATTTTGGGCCTTTTTATACATTTTCTTATAAATAATTAGGCCTCTTAAAATATAATTCTCATATTAATAATATTTTTAAAAAATATTTGGGCCTTTTTTATATGTAAAATTTTTTTATAAAAAAGAAAGCCCCGGGCCGTCGCACCTCCGCCCTACTCATCTGAGCCGGGGCTGCGAAAGTGAATCATCATTAAGAACTAAAAAGAAAAATCTTTAAAACTTACATAGATGCATTTTTAACTTTCAAATGCTTCTTTTTTTTTATAAAGCCCCAAATGCTTAATCTTATTATGATTGATTTCTAATACTTTTTGTGTATTATAAGTTGAGTTATTGATGTTTTGGATAATATATTATCAATTTATTATCCAATCTTAATCTTGTTATTTAAGAAAAAAAAATGAAAATGCTTTTAGTCCACCACTACAAGTTAATGCATGAAATAAAACAATGCAGTACACGTAAGATTCTTTTTGGCATCTACTAAATAGTGGGGTTGATCTATTTGTTTAAAGATTGTCAAATTTTGAGGAAACCATAACAAACTTGACAAACAAGTTTGATTAGCCAATAAAAATCCTTTTGATTTAAATAGATATTATAGACTTATAAAAATTGGGGATCTGCCTTTAGTCAAGTGGTTAAGTCCATTTGACTCCGCATTCCCACCGGAGTTCGACTCTATTAAGTCGCGTTACCCCGCGTAGTAGAGATTGGCTATGTATCGGCCTTGTCGATCCAAAGATGTCAAAAAAAAAAAAAAAAATTGATGGTAGAAAAAGCACACTTGAGCTTTTAATCCGAGCAATTTCCTTCTCTTTTCGACTTTTGTTTTCTTATGCCCTTTTCCATATAAAGTTTCGTCATAAGGTGGCTTCCATGTGATGTCACATATGCATGCGTAGACATAAAATTTAATAATATAACGTTGATAGAGACTTCAATTCTAAATCCCCATAAAACTATCTTTTAGCTCTTGTGTACCAGAACCACAATCTTCTTCCCCAATATCACCCTTCTTCTCTCATCAATATCTCAACTCAAACCTTCCTTAGAGCCCAAGAAATCTCTTCCAAAGCCCTAAAACAAAAGCTTCAAGAGAAAAAATGGCGACGATGGGTCAGTTATGGACTAACACAGGCTCTTCTCTAGCAACACTAATGTTTGTATACACAATCTTCAAACAATTCTTCCCTCACTTCGGAGGCCACTTGGAACCATACCTTCATAGACTCTTTGGTCGCTTTTACCCTTACATCCAAATAACTTTCCATGAATACAGCGGAGAGCATTTCAAGCGAAGCGAGGCTTACTTGGGGATCCAAAGCTATTTAAGCAAAGACTCTTCTGCTCGAGCCAAGAAGCTTAAAGCCAACACAACTAAAGGAAGCAAGTCTCTTGTTCTAAGCATGGATGATAAGGAAGAAATCACCGACGATTTCGAGGGCGTTAGGGTTTGGTGGCAGTCGAAGAAAGAGGGGACTACAAGGCAATCGTTCTCGTTTTACCCTGCAGCTGATGAGAAGAGATTTTACATGTTGAGGTTCCATAGACGTGACCGAGAAGTAATCATAGAGAGGTATCTTGAGCATGTTATGAGAGAAGGGAAGACAATAGAGCTAAAGAACAGAGAGAGGAAGCTTTATTCGAATACTCCGGAACAGAGCCATGGAAACCAGACAAAGTGGAGTCATGTAACGTTTGAGCATCCCGCGACCTTCGATACTCTAGCTATGGAGGAGAATAAGAAGGAAGAGATCAAGAGTGATCTGATTAAGTTTAGTAAGAGTAAAGATTATTACAAGAAGATCGGAAAAGCGTGGAAGAGAGGGTATCTTTTGTTTGGACCACCCGGGACTGGGAAGTCTACCATGATCGCTGCGATGGCGAATTTCTTGGAGTATGATGTTTATGATCTTGAATTGACAACAGTTAAGGATAATACACATCTAAGGAGATTATTGATTGAGACTTCAGCAAAGTCGATTATTGTGATTGAAGATATTGATTGTTCGCTTAATCTCACGGGGCAGAGAAAGAAAAAGGAGGAGGAAGAGGAAGATGGAGACGATAAGAAAACGATTGAGAAGAAGATGATGAAAAATGAAGGTGAGAATAAAGAGAGCAAAGTTACTTTATCAGGGTTACTGAATTTCATTGATGGGTTATGGTCAGCTTGTGGTGGTGAGAGGATCATTGTGTTCACTACAAACTTTGTGGACAAGCTAGATCCGGCTTTGATTCGGAAAGGAAGAATGGATAAGCATATAGAGATGTCATATTGTTTTTTCGAAGCGTTCAAGGTATTGGCTAAGAACTATTTAGATGTGGAGGAGAGTGAGTTGTTTGAGGAGATAAAGAGGTTACTTGAGGTTGAAGAAATCAAGATGACACCGGCAGATGTTGGGGAGAATCTGTTGCCGAAATCCGAAAAGGAAGGAGCTGAGACTTGTTTGAAGAGATTGATCGAAGCGTTGAAGGAAGAGAAGGAGGAAGCGAAGAGGAAGGTCGAGGAAGAGGCGAAAGAGAAGAAGGAAGAGGAAGAAGAGAAGCAGAGGAAAAAGGAAAAGAAAGCAGAGAAAGAGAAGAAGAAAAAGATTGAAGAAAATGGTGAAGAAGATCGTCAAGTTTGAAGGAAATCTGTTGGATTGTATTATTTGGTTGAAGACAATTGTAGTAGTCTTGTCCCATCTTATAAATGTTATGTGTTTCATTTAGCTAATCAGAAAACTCAGAACATTGCTCAGCCTTAGCCTGTTAGCCATGTAGCATGAAGAAAACATATGTATAGCCCAAGAAATAGAGCTGACATGTACATAAGAAACCTAGCATTAAAACCCTAGTTTATAAACGGATATATAAATAGAGAAATAGAGTCTTATGACTCTTATATATATACACGAGATTGCCACTAAAGATCATCGCTTTGAAGCCTAGAAAACATTTCACTGAATCAGTGTGCAAGTTAATGGAAGTAGCTAGTTGAATCTTCTAAATGGGCTTTATGCCTGTTAAGGCCTGGGCCGGATAAGCTCGGCTTGTTTATGCCCGTCTAGAATCCATTTGGCATGTTTAGGACAATTTATAAGTTAGCCCGCATTATATCTAGTTGACCTTTTTTTGTTTTTAACAAATTACCAAAGCTTCAAAATGTCAATCGAATAACGCAATTTAGTATGATAATAGATTAGTATTCTTATGATACACGGGTTAATCGATAAATGTTGTGGTAAAAGTTTAGTACGTTTTATTTTAAAAAGTTAGTAAATTTTATTTTTTTTCACAATTTTATGCAAATATTATGTTGAATTTAGTTTGAACCATCGATTAATAAATCATGATTAAAGTCTCCAATTTTTTTTTTTTTTTTTTCGTTTAGATTTATTATTAATTGCAAATTATGAGAACTGTTACATAGACGATTCTACAACTGACAATTCCTTCCGACCCTTACTAGATTCACGACAGACTACACTTTCTTTTTCTTAATCTTGATGAATATCTTCAATGATCCACGACCTGGCGACACTTCCTTCTCTGCGTAGAATCCTGGCGAACGGCTATAATTGTACATCGCTGGAGATCTCTTGCACACTTGCCTCCATTAATCTGCAAATTTGTTAATAAATCGCAATACATGGGACTCGAACCCCAGACATTTTGGTGTAGAAGCATTAATCAACCCTTGGTCAACCAATGGGCCAAAGAGGCTTCCACAAAAAAATCTCCAGTTTATAGCTAGGTTTTATAATTTAATGGACATATTTCCAATTAAAATTCTCTTGAATATATCTATACTATTATTTTATTTTTTTTGTCAACCGCTATTAATTAAGACTCAAAAGAGCCATTCCTGAGGATTATTGTTTACATACGTGATATGATGCGGTTCGGTACGAACATTTCGTGCCAATTTATCCGCTTTTACATTTGCACTACGAGAAATTAAAGATAAAGAAAAATTTGTGAATTCCTCTTTGTCGCTTTGTAACTCCTCCAAATACGCTGAAAATGCCGGCCATTCGGTTGGAGAAGACACCATTTTCACCAGGTCTAAACAGTCTGTGAAAAAAGCCACATCTTGGTTATCGGCACCTAACATGCACTTCATTGCCCAAAGAAGAGCTTCCACTTCGGTATGTAAGGGAGAGAGACTTCTACGTAGGTTTGCAGCTCCCATGGTTGGCGCCGGGCCGTATGATATCCAGATTTAACTGAATATTTTCCGGATTTTGTGAAATGCCAACCTAGACTATCCTCCTTTGTTGGCGCACCCGGCCCAAATGCAGAGCGCATATCAAAGAGACATCTTCTGGATTAAAGAGCTCATTTAAGAGATCCATCTTCCAAAAATTTGTCCGTGTATCTACAAGATTATTAACTTTTAAAGACGGGTCAATAATTGAACCGTTATTTTTTGCTGGTCTCGGGAATTGAGCTGGAATCCACGGGTCTTCCCAAACTGAGATGGAAGCCCCATATCCGACTCTTTTAATAAGTCCTTTATTAACCAGAGATCTAGCTGAACATATACCACTACAAGAAAACATGCCTTTTGCGACCCCCAATCAAGTCCTTAAACGGTCGCTAATTGCTGTTTTGCGACTTCTTTGCGACTGCACACGTTGGTCGCTAAAAAACGGTCGCTAATTACAATGGTCGCACTGTCGTCGCAAATTTGTGACGCTGTTAAGACTGCTTGTGATGGTCGCAGCTTGTGATGGTCGCAGATTAGCGACGCGGTAGAGACGGACTGTATAGGTCGTAAATTTACGACGTATTAGCTACACCTATTTGTTAGCGACTAATTAGTGACTAACATATCAGTCGTATTATTGAGACTAATTTGGGTTTTGAGATGGATTTAACACTATTCTGTAGTCACAAATAAGCAACATTTTCGCGACGATTACAGTTTTTTAGTAGACATTTTAGTCCCTAATCTACTACCATAAATTGCTTCAAAAAAAAATAGAAATCGAAAACCAAAAAACAAATCTGCGATCATTTAAATTTGTTTCAAAGCCCTAATGTTGGTAACATAGCCTTACATATATAACCTTAAACATTCAAAAGGATCTTCAATGTTCATAACAAAATGAAAAAAAGATGAAGAAAGTACTTAGAATGATGATGAAGAAACTATTGGTGTGGCTGCGACAGTTCCTTGTGGTGCAGTGGCTGGATTGGTTTCTCCTATGGTTTCTTCTGCGTTGTTTTGTGCAGTGGTTGTGGCTGTTGCATTGGCAGTGGCTGTTGCATTGGCGGTTGCATTGGCGGTGCCTAGGATATAGTAGCCACTGTAGAGGGAACACTGGTTTTAACAAGGTTCATAATCATGTGATCACATAAGCTTAATTACATTTGGTTATACTCAGTTGGAAGCAAAAGAGGAAAAACTAGTGTTTACCTTGAGGCGTGATTCTTCAAGTTGCTTGTTCCTGAAATCGCATAACCTTTATTAGGACAATAGAAAGAAAGGAATGAGGGAAGTGTGATATTACTAATTTACCTTTCTCTCTCTCATAGTTATCCAATCTAATAGAAGTGATAGAAACAAGAAAACCAAACTCGCCACCCCAACAAAACCTTGCAGCTCCTATACCAGTTATGCCTTTGTTCTTAAAGGCCTCCACTATTATTGGCTTTGACTCCTTAAAACACGTAATAAAATATAACAATCCACATGAAACCAAAACTTCTAAATTACCTGAGTCACCAACAACCAATACTCGAACTTGGCAACATAATGAAGCTAAGATCTGCTCCTTATTTTTCCTTCCACGTTCCCTTCAAATTCAAAACTTCATTATTGCTTAAGAAACATCAACATATTAGGTAACGAATAAGAAAACCAACACTGTTTTCAATCAACTTCCATACTCCCAATTAGAATCCAAAACGAGAAGAAACAGCTTCCATAAACACTCATAGCAACCTCTGATTCCTCATAATGAAAGAATTTTACGATCTCACCAAGACTAATCAAAAATTTTGGAATCTTATTCTTCACCTTCTATGGAATCAATACCTACGGTTTCTCAAATCAATTAAAAGAAGCAGCAGATCTACGGCTAAAACCTAGGATTTCAGATCAATTACCAACAGAATCAAACTTCTTTAGAAAGGATTCTTCTCAACAAGACCAAACCTTTCTTTATAGTTTGAAAACGCCCAACACTTCTTTAGAAAGAGCTTCAGACTAAGATGAGAGACTCCACTCACTGTTCAAATCCGAGAACACATAGCTTGAAATCTAAATCACGCGAGCTCACCACACAAAGGTGTCATTCGACGAGGAGAAGCGACGACGAGGAGAAGCGGCGACGACAACGACGGCTAGGGTTTTGAGATGAGAGGAGAAGGTATTAAAGCGAAGAGAGGACAAAGAGAGAAGGTATTAAAGCGAAGAGAGGAATCGAAGAAGAAACGAAGAGGAAGAGGAATCGAAGAAGAAACGAAGAAGAAGAGGAATCAAAGATCTACTACCAAATTAATGAAGAAACGAAGAGGAATTGAAGAGAAGAATCGAGGAGGAAAACGAATCAAAAAGAGGAATTGAAGAGAGAAATCGAAGAAGAAACGAAGAGAGGAATCGAAGACTAAAGACTAAAGTGTTTCAGATTCGAGAAATGTGACTTTTCGTTGGTAGTAATAAAAGAATAGGAGTCGCAAACTCGTCCCAACTTGGTCGCAACCAAAAAAACACGAGGGATAATAGCCCGCCTAATCGAAAACCCTAAAAGTTGGTAAAAGTCGGAAAACGGTCCCAAATCGGTCGCAAACGGGTTGTACAAGTTGTCGCAAAAGTCGTCGCAAGTTAGTCACAAACAAGAACAAGAACAAATGTTGTGGCAGAACGGTCGCAAAATACGTAACAAAGTTGTCACTAAAGAGTAGCACATTAGTTGTAAAATTAGACAGTGGCAAAGTAATCGCAAAGAGATAGCTTTTGCGACGTTCGTGTATGAGTCACAAATCAACATTTAAGATTTTTGAACTTTAAGATCTAAATACATTGATATAAGGATTATGTAACACTCCATAGTCCATTTGTGAAGTAAATCATTCATTTTAAGAGGCAAAACAATGATTTGGTAAGTTTATTTTCAAACATACTTAGATTAAGATTAAAACTATATGTAACATCTTCCACATGATAGGTTTTTACAAAGATTAAGTTGTAAACATGTAAAATTAAAACATTAACAAGTAATCTTTCAATGTATTAGTTCAAATCAATGCAAAATATAGTTACTTAACATATTAAACATTCTATTTTATACAATTTCAATTTTAAAACAGAACGAGTCTCTAAAGAGTACCAGAACGGTCGCAAAATACGTAACAAAGTCGTCACAAACGAGTAGCACATTAGTTGTAACATTAGACAGTGGCAAAGTAATCGCAAAGAGATACGCTTTTGCGACGTTCGCGTATGAGTCACAATCAATATTTATGATTTGTGAACTTTAAGATTTAAATACATTGGTATAAGGATTATGTTACACTCCATAGTCCATTTGTGAAGTATATCATTCATTTTAAGAGACAAAACAATGATTTGGTAAGTTTATTTTCAAACTTACTTAGATTAAGATTAAAACTATATGAAACATCTTCCACAAGATAGGTTTTTACAAAGATTTAGTTATAAACATGTAAAATTCAAACATTAACAACTAATCTTTCAATGTATTAGTTAAAATCAATGCAAAATATGGTTACTTAACATATTAAACATTCGATTTGATCTAGTAACAATTTTTAAATCAGGACGAGTCTCCTAAGAGAGGCAAATTAGTTGTACATTTACGACTCTTTTGTGACGATTAAGAAGTTTCACGAAACTTTTTTTTGGATTTCGACAGGGTTGCATAAGTATCGTAAAAGGGTCGCTTATTTATGACCATTCTCTGACTAATCGTTGGCGTCGTAAATTGGCGACAAATATGGGTATACTTTTAACGTAGTCGTTAAAGAGTCACTATCTGGTAACAATATCATCGCAAATATTTGCGACCAACAAAAGAGTCTCCATCCATAGGATGGAGAGTATGATTTAATATTATCCAGAGGATTGGATTTGCGAAAATACCGACCTTTGAAAACTTTCGCAAATAGAGAATCTGGGACTGTAATCAAACGCCATAATTGTTTTGCCAGTAGAGCCGAATTAAAATCATCTACATTTCGAAAACCGAGTCCACCTTCCGACTTACTATTACACAGTTTGTTCCACGCCATCCAATGCATACCTCTAGAATCACTATTTGAACTCCACCAGAATTTTGCGACCGCACTTGTAAGTTTAGAAGTAATTGTTTTCGGTAGTCTGAAGCATGACATAACATAAGTTGGTAATGCCGCAGCTACCGATTTAATCATTACTTCTTTTCCGCCTTTTGATAAAAATTTTGCTGACTAGCCATTTATCCTTGTTTGTAACCTATCTCTAACAAACGAAAATATTTTTGTCTTCGAACCTCCTAGACTTTCCGGTAACCCTAAATATGAGCCCATGCCACCAAGGTTATTAATTCCCAATACTGCTTTTATTTCCGGCTTGATTGCTTCCTCCACTTTATATCTATACTATTAATTGGGAAGCATTTCCTGAAAAATAACTTTAAAAAGTGTAAAAAATTACAAGGAAATGCCATTAGGATTTTTTCATTCTAAGAATAGATAAAAGATTTCGTCCAAGGTTAAACTCGACAATTTAAATATATAAAAAACGCGGATCCTGGGCATTTTGTTCGGATAAACACGCGGACCATATGCTATTGGGGCGGGCTACCACGCGGATCTTGGGCTTCAAATACAGTCCGAGACGCGGATCCTGGAGTCGATCCGTTGGAGTGTTGATTAATGTTGGGATACCAATTATTGCCAATTATTGCACTCCGAGATTTACTACTGTTACATAAATAAATTGCCAAAAATTTTAGATATGATTTAAAGAGATTACTATAATCTGTATAACTAACGAATCTAATTACTTGCGATTACTAATCATTGAAGACGTATACAAAAAAAATAAATAACCAAATATTCGCACGAATGTTTTTAAGAAAGATGCCAAAGAAATCAGAAAATAAAAGGAACACATCCTATTTTGTAGTAACTGTTTTCAATAAGAACTAATCTTAGTTATTATATTTCCCAAATTTAATAATAACAAAAATATTCGAATCCTATCAAATCGAGCATATACGAATAAAGTTTGTTTTAAATTCTGACACACAAATATATACAACTACTATTTTCTTCCACTCACTAATCTTAAACTTTTCGTAATCTTTTGCTCTTTTGTTTTTCTAACTTAGACAGGTTTGTGCTCAAGTCAATTGAAAAATAATTGACAAGAACTTGGTTTATGATATACAAGTGTTTTCTAAATTTACAGATTGAAGATCCAGAGGCATTGGCAGATGCTATCAAGAAGACAAAAACTTAGTTGGAAGGATTTTTCAATCAGTTATTCATATTGAAAAGAATAACACATCTACAGTGGGCATGCTACCTAAGGTTTCTAATTAGGTATGCTTAAGAAAGCGTTGAATATTTGTGTGTTTATCATTAACCATTGTCTTTATCATTTGATTCTATTGTATTTTGTCTAATTGAAGGTAAACTAATTATGTTAAGCTGTTTTATGAAAATTTTCCATATAGATTGACGGTGCTATTCACAGATAAAGAAGAAAACCCTCGAAAATAGGGCAATGAAAGCTGGAAATGTTTCAGATCCTGTATGAGTTATCTTTAGACGAAGTTATGGTTTGACCCATCAATAATCTTAATCTAACCAGATAATTATAAAGAACCTGAACTTTTCAATGCCATGGGAAGTCTCTTTTTCATTTCATAGTATTGAAGACTAAATATAAGAGAATGTTAAGGAAGAAAAAGTAAGGAGTGACCTACTCCCATAATTTTCTGTTTTTTTCTATGATTTTAAATTAGTTTTGACTATTCACCGTCTTTCATATTCTCATTCATCAACACCAACAAAAAAAAATAAAAAATCATAACCAGAGAACACTTACATGATTGATATTGGCGAAGTGAATGAATAGTTTACTTAATAATTCTTTTACTCTTTCACAACTCTTCTAATTGAACCTAAAAACCAAGGCCATAACTCGGATCAGGACCTGATATAGAAAACAACTAATAGTTATCTCATAGATTAATTAGTCTAAAATCAAAGAAAATTTTCATAAGAAAAAAATCAATGACGAATAACATGTAGATCCTCTAAATAATTGGGAAAAGGTGATTCTAAGAAACAAAGGACATCGAATTCAATACAAGCAAGAATAAGATTTTTGTGAGATCATTGGACTTATATAATGTTGATAAACATATATAGATACACACTTACCTTGGCCATATGGAAAGTGAAGAAGCGAGAAAATGCCTTGGAAAAGAATTATAATTCACTTAATTCCCGAGATCGCCACAACAGTGGAACATAAATTTGTAAAAATTCTACATTAACAAAACAGTAAAAACATCAAAAGCCCCAACAAGGAAAGCTTTCAGATATCATATTTTAGTGAAATCCAAACACCAAATGTCCAAATCCAAAGAGCAAAGCTTTAAGTGTAGAACATATGATCCCTAATTTGTAGAATTTATAATCACAGTATCAATCATACCGGGAAACTTCTACCTTAAGAACAACATAAATCCCTAAAATCAAAGCTGATGAATGTCTAAAACCCTAATTTAAACCGGAATCTCAAATTCGCAAAACGCTGTGAATTCAATAATATTCTAGATTCTCAACCCAAATAACTGAGGATACACGTATACGAAAGAAACCAGACCAAAAGGCTGAGGATAGACCATGGGTCCGGGAATGGGTGCTACAAGCACCGTCGAAGAGGATGAAGAAAAAAAAAAACTACAACTGCGGGACTGTGAAAACAAAGTTTAGATATAAAATTGACAATAATTACCCGTAGAAGATCCAGATTCTTGACAATCCTAGGCGAAGATCTCTATTCAAACAGAAAATTTCAAAAGATTGGAAATTGAATCGACATATAAAAAAAATAGTTAAAAGTATAAATTTGATTCAATAATAAACTTACACAGAGTATAACCGGAGACAAAATCACTGAATTATATGAGAATTTCGCCATTGATGATTTGATCGACCGATGTTCTTAATTTTTTTTTGGTGGGCGACCGAAGTTCTTAATTGTATTCGGTGGGTTTTCTTCTTTTGAGATAAGACAACGATTGTTCTAAAAACAATTATATGTCCAAATGAAGAAAGAAAAAAATTCCTTAATATTAAATACAAAACACAAACGAAAATAGAAAATGTATTTCGGCCCAACATCAACATGTATTTCAGCCCAAAAAACAATTATTCGGTTTAAGTTATGGGCCATTTAATTAAACTTTTGGTAAACATTTGGTAGAGAGGTTTTCTGAAATACCAAATATTAATTTATAAACAATAATGTTGCATTACCAAAAATTAATTTTAAACATATTAGAATTACATATTCTTTCAAAATCTTACATTTCTATTATAACTATTACACACCTGACTTCGGTATCTGTTAAAATTATTTAGTATGCACCAAAACCAAACTATTTATTTAAATAAAACACTTAAAAATGATAAAAACAAAAAAAAAATTAATAACTAAAAATTCTATTCAAAATTTATAACTAATCAAACAGAAAATAAGCGTGTTTAACAAAGTTTTTTTAAACATAAAACAAAAATATTGTATGTAAAATATCCTATTATATAATTCACTAACAAAAAAAAAATGTTGATTAAAACTTTCTGCAAACACTATTATTTGTACATTGCACCCCACACGTATGTAACTATTCAAACAGAAAAAACAATTGTGTAACAAAATTTATTTAAAATACAGAAATTAATTTTGCAATTAATTTATAATATTTTGATATCTATACTATAATCTAATTCACTACAAAAACAGAAAACAATTTCTTAAGTACTACTTTCAATAAAAATTGATTCTAAATTTTATACAACATATATCTTAAAATATGAAACCCCGCACGAACGTGCGGGTCTGGATCTAGTATTGTATTGTAAACGGTTATATGAAAAAGAGAAACATATATATTCTAAACCTAGATGCATTCTTACAAATTTGATTCTACGAAACATTCTCCAAGGAAGACTCCACAGAAAAATCTATAAAGCAGAGTCTCTTAGAAGAAGTCTAGGGAGCACTGATACGTCTCTTAACTTTACATTTTGTCTTTTTGATACGAGCTTGTGAAAAGATCATCGACTATTAAGAACGACAAAAAATAACAACAATTAAAATACTAAGAACATGATTATATGCATTCAAAAAAATGAGACAGAAAAAAACTTTAGATTCACTATATGTCTATATCTATTGCAAAATAATTATTTATTTGATCAAATCTATTAATATATTAAGGCATGTTGATTCTCTGCAAAAAAATAGATGTTACAAACTAGAGTTGTAGGATATGAGAACTTACCATGAAGAAAATAAACAAATGGTCAAGATTGAGCCTCTGAAAGAAGATAGAAGTCTCGGACTCGGTTTTTCGCCCAAAAAAAGGTAGATTTTATAGTAAGGTGATGGGAGCTTGATTATGTTTTATTTCTAATGGACCTATATTATGGCTTATGGATGTCAACGACTAATTAAACATAGACATGTAAACCAAACCGAGGTTTAAGAGCTAGACAATGATCAAAATTGGTACAAAATGCCGTCAAAGTATTAATAGTCGTTGATTACAATTTCTTCAACAAAAAATTTTATATATTATTGATGACTGATTATGATCATATACGCTTTTTTGAAAAGCATTCAAATATAATTGATAATTATCATATATATAAAACTCCAAAATGCTCCATAATAAATGTACGATTGAAAATATATATTTTCAGCTGATTATGTCGCCATATTTTAACATATAGAAAGAAATGATAAAAGAAATCTCAAACCATTGTTGATGATAAAAAAAGAAAAAAAATTCTTAAATCATTAAAGATGAAATTCAAATCTATGAGTTAGAAGGAAATAGATGGTTATGATATCAAGTATTGCGTGTCACTCTATTTTTTTTTATCTTTAACTCTTTTTTTTTTTAAATGTCTTGTATTAATTAATCCAAAATAAAACCAGTAGTTCATAGGAACAGAGTACAAAAACAAAAACAGAGTATAACAAACCAGAAAACGATCAAAACCAGACTTATTAGCCTGACCCACCTTGGCCCTTCCGTCTTCGTCACAAACCGATTAACTTCAACCGTGTCGGCGTTCTTCTTCAAGACGATCTTGTAGCCAAGCTGGTCCACCCGAAGCTAGATAAGAATTAAACCGGCCTTCTCGTGTAACGCTACAAGCAATATCCCTAGCCAACGTATTGGCTTTCGGTGAAGAGATCATGAATTTCACATCCCGCATCACCCGTATTACTTGATCTATTTTGATGAGAAGAGACCGGTATTTTGGCCATTGTTGAGGATGATTCAAAGCCCGTACCGCCGCGTTACAATCAGACCAAATTTCACAAGAGTGAATACGTACACTATGGAGACTTCGCAGACACCATAGAATACAGAATAGTTCTGCAGCCACTCGATTAACCATAGGAAGGAAGGCATCACGGGCATGAAGGACAGCATAACCCATATGGTTCCTCAACAGCCAAGCACCGCCACAATGTACAGAGTCTTTAATCCAAGATGCATGAACATTGCACTTAAGTCCTCCCCAGGCTGGTTTAAGCCACGATTTCTCTATGTAAGACACTTGTCTGTTCCCCACTTTCGCTTCCTGAGACATAATCAAGCTTTGTTGAAGCCATTCCTCTGCCTCCTCCAAAGCCGACGCAATGATTATATTCGAGTTACTGGTCTGCCCTACAAAAATAGTCGAATTCCGTGCTTTCCATATACCCCATAACAGCCATGGTAACGCATCACGTATGTTCGCAGGCACTGTCATGTTTTTCATCAGGTTGAAGACGTACAACATGTTATCAGCAATTGATTCTGTGAATCCGTGTACTGGTAATGAAAGTGCTGCATTTTGCCACACAGAGGTTGCGAGAGTACATCCAAACAGAACATGCGAAATCGTTTCCTCCTGCAACTGGCAAATTTGACATGAAGGGTTAATCATTAGGCCATGGCTCCTCATACAATCTGCAACCGCAAGTGCTCCAGACAAAGATCGCCAAAGGAACATTTGTATTTTAGGAGCTGTTTTCAGGAGCCAAATACGATCCTTAATCTTGTTTAACACCTGCAACGCTTCTGTAGTAGTCTCCAACCTGCTAGCAGCGTGAGTCAGTAACCAATTACCACTTTTCACGGAGTACTGTCCATGTTTGGTATAAGCCCAGATATGTCGATCTTCCATACTTGTTACTGGAGGAAATGATCGAATGTGATTAACATCACAAGGTGGAAAAAGCTCATTTAAGAGAGGAAAGTTCCATTCACCATGTATAGTTATCAAGGAGCTGACTTTGAGGCTTATATCCATTAGGGATTCTTTATTCATTGGAAGTCTCGGGGCTCCATCAAACAACCATTTGTCGATCCATACACTTGTACTCTGTCCATTGCCAATCGCTTTCATGAGTCCTTTTTCAAGTAGTTCTTTCCCGAAAATAATGCTTCTCCATGCGTACGAAGGCCGATAACCAGTGGTAGCATCAAGGAAAGGTTTCTGCGGGTAGTACCGTGCTTTGAAGACGCGAGCTAGTAAGGAAGTAGGAGCATCTAATAATCGCCAAGCTTGTTTCGCAAGTAAAGCTTGATTAAAGTGTCCTATGTCCCTAAAACCTAACCCTCCTTGGGTTTTAGACTTACAAATCTTCTCCCATGAAACCCAATGCATTTTATGTTTCTCTTAACTCTCATTCCACCAAAAGTTTGACATAGCACTTGTAATCTTTTGGCATTGGTGCTTTGTCAACCGGAAACACGACATTGCATATACCGGTAATGCTAATGCCACCGATTTGAGGAGTACTTCTTTGCCACCTAGAGATAAGGTCTTCTCATACCAACCACTGAGTCTCGATTTGAATCGGTCCGTTATAAAACCTAAAAGCTCTTTCTTGGATCCGCTAAAACATTCTGGGAGACCAAGGTACTTCCCTGTTCCACCTTCTTGTTCAATTCCTGTAAATAAACCAAGCAATCGTTTCATGTAGGGGTCTAACTTCTTGCCAAAAGTTATCGCAGATTTTTGGAAGTTGATCTCTTGACCCGATGCCCTCCCATATAACCGCAGGCAGCCCAGAAATTCCGTGCATTCCTTGAATGTAGCTTGGCAAATGAATAGGCTATCATCAGCAAATAATAGGTGTTGAATCGATGGGCATAAAGGGGTGAGACGCATTCCCGTTAGCCGCCCTTATTGTTCAGCTTTATTCATGATGTGAACCAAAGCTTCAGCACAAAGAATAAAGAGAAAGGGCGAGAGTGGATCACCTTGACGAATTCCTCTCTTAGGCTTGATAAAACCATATGATGATCCATTCAAAATTATGGAGTATGAAACCGATCTTACACAACTCATAATCCATTGAACCCACCGTATATCGAACCCCAATCGGATTAATAATTCTTCCAAGAAGTTCCATTCAACTCGATCATACGCTTTAGACATATCGGTTTTTATGGCCATGAAATCCTCATCACATCTGGTATTGGTGCGTAAAGCATGTACCATTTCATGTGCCAAGAGAATATTATCGGAGATTAATCTACCCGATACAAAAGCGCCTTGCGTGTCAGAAACAATGACTGGAAGAAAGACCTTCAAACGGGAGCAAAGGATCTTAGAAACAATCTTGTAAATTACCGAACATAAACTGATAGGGCGTAGGTCTGTCATATCTTTAACTCTTTTCATCAAAAAAGTTACCATTCTAAAGTTTTTTCATAAATAAGCCACACAAAAAAAAAAACAAAAATTTTTGGGCATAAGTACAATCATAAGATAGAAATATTTATTGGACCCTTGAATTCTTTTATTTAAAAATGTGCCAGAGACAAAGGTTTTTTTTTTTTTTTGTATGAATGTAAAATTTATTCACCAAAAAAAGACGGTTTTACAATAAATGCAACATCAAGCTGAAAAAATCTGAGTTTTTGAGAGGGATTATAAAGAAGGGAAAACTAGCGACTATGGGTTTGGAACCAATATCGCAGTCCGCCTTCATAAGTGTGTGAGCCCGTCGTAATTAAGGTGCTCAGCCGGTTACGAACGTTCTTGTCGATCAGTTTTGCTAGCATGGATGCTGGGGTTGGTGACTCGCCGTGTCGTCTCCCATTCCGTTCTCGCCATAGACTGTGGATAGATATCTGAAACACATATCTCAAAACAAACAAATGTAGCTTTGAGGTAGATGGAGCCGTGAGTAAAGGAAGCATAGTTTCCCATCGTGTTGTGTAGTGTTGCCCAAGCATGTCTCGTGTGAGGGCTGACCAGACGTGAGACGAATACGGACAGGAGAAAAAGAGGTGTTCTCTTGTTTCTATGTTCCCATCACACAAATTACAATCACCATTTGCTGCAGCATTCCACTGTAACTGTCTATCTCCCGTAGCTAAACGATTACGAATGGCGATCCAAGTGAT